ATCGATAATATTAAGTACAGTAAAGTTTGGTCCTAACTAAACTAAAGTAAAAAAAAAAAAAACAAACACAGGTTACAGTGTTAATTTATCTCTTTATCGAACTTAGGCCTAACATAAGTTAAAGTTTTATAGAGTATTTTTTATCGATAATATTAAGTACAGTAAAGTTTAGTCCGAACTAAACTAAAGTAAAAAAACACACAGGTTACAGTGTTAATTTATCTCTTTATTGAACTTGGGCCTAACATAAATTAAAGATTTATAAAGTACGGCCTATATACAAATGGATTTACACATTTTGTTGTCTACGATTACAATTCGTTTGTATTGTGCTAGAAATGTTATATTTAAAGAAGTACTTTTACGATAAAGATACTAATTTGGCCAGAAATGTTTTGCGGGTCTCTGCTAGTTATGTATGAATATCATATAACCAAACTTTGATATCTGTTTTTTGTGAACTTATCTTAAATATTAGCGAAAAGTTATGTGAACTTTGATAGCTAACAAAAGGGATTTCGTTTCTTGTAAATGTAGAACTTGATCATGATTTATTTACTTAATAATTATCTTGATATTGTTTCATTCTATCACAGCAAACACTAAAAAATAAGTGAACATTTGTTTTAACTTCTGACATATCTGTTCTTAGTTATTTGTATCTCACATTTATTTTAATTAGTTTTATTTATATCCATACCAGTAACAGAATTATGTCCAGGTACAGATAATGTTATAGTAATATTTCAAAATATTTTTATTTTGATGTACGAGCCCTTTTAATACAGGAAGCTATAAAATACCTTTTTGCTAAAACTGTTATTAGACATTCAGGTACATTTAGGTTAACCCTATTCCATTTGGACTAAACTTCGATACAGCTGGTGAAGTTTATGATTTGTAATATCCTTGAGTTCTCCTGTTTATTGTTGATTCAAATTTTTCAAATTTAATGGGCCTGATGAGTTACAGCTTTTTCTAACATCTAAATTACAATATGTCTAGATTGATTATCTATTTAAAAAAGATTAATTTTAGAAATAATCGATAATTATGGTGTTACAATTTTGAAATTGTTAGGATACTTTAAAGAAGAGCATATACAAGGATATAGTGTAATTCTGTAGTTGTTATAAAAGTCATTAAAACTGTGAGGATGTTTATATAAACACTTTACATGTATTAAGTTTACATTGTCATGTTCTTTGAGTAATCACGACTGTTGGTAATATCATTATTTTGGCACTTGAAGAAATACACAAGTTGGGTGTTATATTATAAGAATTTTTGAGCCTCACCGTGTTGTTACAGTACGTCTTGGCACGACTGAACATTCTCTGTCTGATGACCATGCACCTTGACCATAGCCTTCCAATGTAGTTTCCACTGTAAAAGGCTTTTTTGTGAAGCTGTTATTCCAAACCACACCACTACTTGCTTTCCATAATTAATCTATTGTAGAGTAATGATGGATCCTCTATGCTCATTCAACACTCCAATTGCATAGAAATCCATGAGTGCTGTATGTAATTACTTGAACAGTATGCCTTCAGATGGAATAGCGTGAATATATGTTTTATTCTTCAGCTGCTTGAGGTATGTGATGGTTGAAAAGGAGGTATGAATGGAAACCTTACCTTGGTGAACCTATACCCTCTTGGCTTCATTTCCAGATGGAGATCCTTCTTGATTATGCTGTATACTGTTGCCTGGGGCATGTGGATGACTTTTGCCTCTAACAGTTGTGTTCGTGAATTCTCGCACATTACCAGATGTCACACTTTGCTTAAGCTATTTAGAATATACGATTGTAGTTTCATGTTACAATATGCAGTCATGCTAGGAAGAAACAAAAGAGTAATTCAGATTTATTTCCTAATTGTTATGGTGGTTAAAAAGTTAGCCCAATCAACTGAACCCGTAGAGATTTAGGGTAGAGAAAATAGCAGTTAAAATGTAAAGTTTTCCTGAAAATAAACATTTGACATTTATTTAGGAGGTTTTAAAGATTTGAAATTTTAATATGAAGAAAACTATTTTTGATCTTAACATGAAAAACACTTTGTACTCGGAAGAGTCAACACTCTGGCTCCATACATTCAAAAAACTTGTAATATTCCAAATGTAGTTTGATTAAATATTGAATATACCTCTGTAAAACATCATTACATGCACACTTTTACCTGCCTGTTGTGAAAGGGTTAAAAAAAGCTGGAAACACCTTGTTACAGGCCTGTTTCTAGATGGCTCTGGTGCCCCAAGTTGATCCAAACTCCTTTGTTTTCCAAATCTATTAAGTACAAGAGATATCCCCATCTTGTAACTTTGATTCCCCAATCTGAAAACTTCTTTATGATCTGAATATTTTATGTTAGAAAGGGCTGTTACATACCCTTTTCAAAAGCAATCAATTTTCAGTGACATCACGTTACCTTCAAAATACCTAAATAATGTCAAAATATAATTCTGATACATGCTGTTCCACTATGACTTTATATCAACTGTGGTTGCCATGTAGCTTACTGATTTGTATATATTCCAAATCCTTTTGATATAACATAATCAACCTCCTTTATGTAAATATAATTTATGTCTATATTTACTGTTGATATACATATAGTAGTAATGACAGTTTTTTTCAAGAGTATTATACTTAACCGTATAACAATGAAGATGGTCAGTTTCACGAACTGTGGAATTGTGAAATTGTATATATATTATAGTTCTGAATTTACTGCATGTACCTTCATAAAATATGGTAAGCTTCTAGTAAACATTACAGGCCCATCTGCAGGACTTTTTTGGAAGGGGTTGCAAAACATGAGATTTTGCCAGTGTGTATTCTGGTCACCAAGCAAAGTGAGGCTACCACCCTAGTGGGTTCCAGGGGTATCCTTCCCTGGAAAACAAAAAAAATCTAGAGATCAAAACTATGTGAAAAAATGGCCAAAAATGTAAAATTTTATTTTTCTGTGACCTTGACCTCACCTCATATTACATAATTGTTAGTATTTCATTAACAAGAATATCTATTCAATGACATCCATGCAAAAATAGGCAATAAAAGTGGTAAAAATGTAAACTTTTGTAAGGTGACATAGTAGACATGATGATGTTATGTAACAGTAGATCTATCGATTTCGTCTAGGCCTAGCTACATTTATTATTTAGAATCTATGTCATCCTACACAGCCACGACACTTTCATGACTGTGGACAGCACTTTTGTTTTGCCATGTGACCTAATGCATCCAGACATAAACATTTTCAGTAGAAGATTTTAATAGGTGTATTTTTGCCTTGACATCGCTATCTCTGTGTGACAGTCAACCAATCATGCATGTTCTTACAAATGAATTTTATAAAGTACGGTAATCCAACTTGTCATACTTATTATGAAGTTTACTTCTTGAGTCAGAGATCGCTGTATTTAACAGGTGTTAAGTATTAATTTTATTTAACAGGTGTTAGGTATTAATTTACCTTATTAAAGAGATGGGTGCGATTGCACCCATCTCACTTCCACTATGGATGGGCCTGCAATAGAAGTCTTTCTTCTAAAGATTTGTGTGTAAATTTTTAAACCTTTGATGAAGTCTAAGTGAAAGTTGATTTTCTTGCTAAGAATAATAAAACTTCTTTTCATCTTACAGTTTTCATATTTCATTTACATAACCTTTAGAATACTCTAAATGAAAACATTTTTCACTAAACTTTATATTTTATCTCTTATTATCTCTACCCTAACACTAGCTGTAGAAAAATTTCAATGGCCAGTGAAATAGAAAGCTGAAAAATATGAAATCAAATGAAGGATACCATAATTTTTTCTTCACCAACTGCAGTGTAGATCAGAAATTTCCAAATTACTTAATGGTTTCATGTCTGTTTTATTTTTATTTTATTGCATATGGCTGTACTTTTATCCACTGGAGTAGTAATTGTCACATCAAAAGCAGCGAATCATATGTGAGCCCATTAGCTGTTTCCTGTAGAGCTATTGTAACTACACATGATCTGAGTATCATATTTCACACCATGCTCGAGCTAGTGAAAGTTTATACATTTTATTTTACTGTAGTTTTGTTTGGCTAATCTGGGAAGTTTAAATTTTTGTTACTTCTGTTAAAAATATATATATAAATAAAAATATACATAAAAAAACAACAAGAATTTACAGTATTCACTGTGCACTCGAGCTGTTTGCACTCTAGTAAAAATCTTAGATTTTTTTCCTGAAGCTTTGTTGAGTCTCACAAATTGGCTGTCCAAAATAAATTCATGTAGCTATTAAATATGCATTTTATAACACAAAAATTATATCGGTCACTAGAATAGAATGTCACAAAACTACTATAATTACCTGGTTTTCTACATAACCTATAAATAAGTACAAAATTCTGTTACTGTTTGGAGCACCAAATATTATCAGCACAAATCAAGCAATAAATATCTCCATCAATCTTGTAAAGTTGATTAGCAAACAATCTCAAAAGTCAGAGAGAGGAGGGGGCTTCTCAAGTAGATTTGACAGACTTATTGATATCTCAGCAAATCAAAAACAGAAGTTATAATTTTAGATTTTTGTGTTTAGATTTTCATGTTTGTGATTCTAATTGGTAGGAACCTGCAACAACCTAGTTTAGAAGTTAGAAAATTTTGAAATGGAAGAAATCAAAGCTCAGACGTGTTGCACATGAGAGAGAAAAATGAAGATTGAGAATTTTTAAATATCTATTTGAATTCTAAATCCTGATTCTGTGCCAGCTTTATTGACATACATTTATGATAAAGTTGTTTAATTAAATTTGATTGTAACATTGTAAAAGGTCATGATATGTGCAATTTGACCCAGCCATGCAGTAAAAGGTAACATTTATATAATTTGTAGCCTATTAGTATTTAGAATATTGAGAAAAGCAGAATTTATTGTTAACCTATAGGTGTAATATTTATGATAAAAAAATCACATTAAACTACAATTGTTTATTTTTCATATTTCTCTTGACTTGTCTTTTGTGTATTTCAAATCATTGGATTACAATACTTCCCTAACTTCAGTATAGAATCAGGAACAGTGTAAATGAAACTGTGTGACTTGGGTAGTTTGTTGTGAGTTGGTATTGTAGGTTTGTTGTACAGTTGAATAAAAAGTATGGCTACGCGTGTAAAATACTGATTGTCTGGTTTTGAAAGCCATTTACAAAAATATTTGCATACAAAATATTCTTTTATTGTGATGCTTATTAAGATAACATATAAAATTAGATTCTATAAGGCCGTAGTTATTTGAATGTATAACAGAAGATTGTTAAACTTGGTTTACTTAGCATACACAGAAAGATCCTTTGAGGAAATAAATGTAATTCAGTTTTAATAATGCATTATAATTTAATGTAATGTATAGTGATAATATTTGTCATTTGATATTCATTGAAAAATTAGTAATAAAATATCTCTCTGGAAAGGAAGGAAGACTTACCAGCAATTATATCATGAAGTGAGAAATCCATGCAATGTGTCACCTTAAAAGAAAAAAAAATGTGATTTGTTATACATTTGTATTGATTGTAAATAATATAAACTGTGTTTGGTTCCATGCCATTTAGTGCACAAAACAGTGCTATTTAGTGTTTAACTCAATGAGATTTAAGATACTTTTAGTTTACATGTATGTTCATGAGTGCACTTAAATTGTACATATACATTATTTTGCGTATGTATTTTTCAATGCTTCAAACAAGAAAAAGTTCCTGTGTTTAAAAATGTAGCAGTGATGTAACATTACTCTGTATTGCTGTTTAACAAACAAAAGAACGTTTGTATATTTATGTTTTAAAAGTATTCACTTAAGTGCTGTATTAAATTCTTGTCTGTGTGAACATATTATAAACTGGAAAAAACGCAACAAAAAACAATGATTTTTGTTATATACTCCGCTCTAAAGCTGTCTCAAAGGAACAATGATAATACATCATTAGGCTTAAAGAGAACTGTTCTATTAATAATTGAAAAGCAAGATTCTCAGAATTCACTTTCAACATACACTTTTTTCCAGTCACTAGTTGTTATTTATGGTCTCCAGTAAAAAAAATTAGTTTTAAAGCCTGAAGTTTTCATTCACTTTTGTGTTATTTTATTGGTAAGTTTGGAGTTTTACATGTTGAATACTTTTGTTAGTACACACCACAGGTTAATAGTTAACCCGATAAAAAACATGCAGTGGGTTGTCAAAAACCTCAGTGTTAAGTTGCTTGTTTTGATTATTGAGAAATTTATTTGATTGTATTTTGGCACAGATTCATCTTTGAAATTTCACATTTTGTTAACACTGTTTATTTCATCATAGAGTCCAAAAATTATTCTAATGCAAATCGGCCATGCTTGCAGAATTTGAACATTCTTTCTTTCAGGCAATGATCTTTAAGAGTATTATAACCTAGAGGTTAGTACCAGAAACTAAGTTTTATGTTTTCCTGTTTTATTAAGATGCAAGTTTTATGAATTTGAATTGCTTATGTTTTTAAATATGTCTATGCTATTCCTTAATATTTTTATTTTTTTTATAAAAAAAAATTTATTTTTTATTTTTTTGTTGAAGGAATGGTGTGTTATGTAGAACATTACGTATAGTCTTAAGTACTTATTTGACAACATGCAGTAAAGTGATTTATCTCATGTGAGTTTAATTTTCTATAGCTGTGCTCTTAGAAATATTGGATATATTTGGGTCATGTTTTACACGTGAACAGAAATGTGTAAAATGTTAGATATTTTTGTAATTGATTTATCTCTGAGCATGTGATGGGGGGGATCATTTGAGAGCAGTATAGTAAATAATGTTTTTTTAGCTTTGAAACTTACAATGTGTTTATGTTATTAAACAGATAATTGTGATTTTCATGTATCAAGAAACCTTTTTAGATGTGTTTGTTGTTTTTGGTGCAGATTGAAGGACATTGTGTTATCTGTGTTGTTTAGTTGTGTGGCATTCATGATCTGCATTCGAAGTATGTTATTTTCATTAAAATTTGTAGACCTTGAAGCACACTTTTGACTGAATAGAAAAATTTTTATATTTTATAACTGAATTTTAAGACAATTGTATTTCTAAGAAACTGATTTTGAAATTTAAAAATAAATATTAAAAGTTCAAAATTGTTTTGCAGAAACACTTGGATGCATTTCTCCACGAAGTGTAACTTACTGTGCTAATGACTTTGAAGTTGATAAAGGCTCGTTCATTGTTAAAATAAATAACACAACAGGCAAGTTTCACCAGTTTTCAACACTTGCAGTGCAGAAGAACGATATCAGATTGGTCAGTATTCAGCTGAACATGGTAACACCAAGGCAGCAACCTTCTTTACTCAAATTTTGAAAAAGATTTTGATGAAAGTGTAGCAAGAAGATTCCAAAAGCTGTGTTTTGAGTCCTCATCAAAGTATTCCTACAAAGTGCATTTTAATCAGTCAGTATTAATTTTAATACAAGTTTTATATGGAACGCTATAGGTTTGTGTTTGTTCTTAAATTACAAACATTAAAGCATACTTTATACTTTGGTTTAAAAGATGAAAATAAATTACTACTCCATTGTACTTTGTACAAAAACCAGAATTATGAATACTGCTTAAAATTGTAACAACCTAACAAGATAAAATGAAATATATCCTTATGAAATATGCACTGTAAATGTCCTGAAGAAATTTGTTTATCTGCATTTAACTTCTTATAAATACTCTCTACTTCCCTGTACGTTATTATATTTCCTGCTTAGTTCTAGATTATTTTAGATGTCTACTTCAAATTCATACTAAATTGGATGATATATTACTGATACCTAGACTTTTTTTGCCTAACATAGTATACGTACAATGCAAGTATGTATTTGAAACTGCAACTACAGACTTCAGATGAGTGATAATCTTAGTGACCAGTGTACAAGTCATTCTAAGATACATGCAACCACACTGTTTTTATTTCTTGAGGAAGGCATAAACTGATATGTTCTGTTAATAATTATTTATTAGAAATTTTTGATCATGTTTTATTTTTCAAATAATTGAAATATTCTAGAAAAAGTGTGTGACAGAACCCAGGCAACATTGTTTTTACTGAAGTAAGAAGTTTGGTCACTGCAATAATTACACAATTGAAGACATAAAATTTTGTTTTTTTTATCCTTATACTAAGTGCTTTTTTTACAATATTTACTAAAAGTTTATATATCTATCTATTTATATTATGGATAGATAATTGAGTAACTGAATTATAAATACTCTTGTGTAATTGGTACAGTTAATGACTGTATAATGCTTTCTCTGAAGAATGAATCTCTGTACTGAAGAATTTGTAAAATTGTTAATTAAGTCTTGTGTGTCTTAAAAGGAAATAAAGCTTATTTTGTTACACGAGTATTTGTAATTAAAGCATTTTGATATATGCTATTTGAACTGTTACCAAAGGCAAAAACGTGCCAATGAAATCAACAGTCAGTCCACCTATAGAGGACTTTCACCCGTGTGATGTCAATGTTTAGATGCCATATCGCAGGTCACTCAACAGCTCTAAGCATGAGCGAGGTAATATTAAATTCAACTACTACTAAAATCTATTTTATCTAGTATGAAGTTTAGATGAAATATCTAAGAATTAGGTACATTGTTAAATTAAAACTTGCTGGGATATCTGATCCATACATTGACCACAAACATTATTTTCAACGGTTGATAAGTGCTGGCCAATCAGTTGCCTGATCTTCAATAGCCAGACATTTAATTAACAGTCCATCTTAGTATATTGCAGAGTCACGGAAGGATTGTAAAAATTTGGTCACTTATAAGTATTTTATTGTTGAGACGTCTCGGTAATGGACAGATTCCTCATTCTGTCTAACCTTCATCACTTTATACTACATATAAACTTACGATAAATGCAACATAACTAAATTAATTGCATATAATATGTGTTTATTTATTTGTACATTAAATAAGTGAAGGTCTTCCAATAACATCCTAATAATTAATAGCAAAAATAGTACAACTAGTAGTGATATTTGTTTGGCCTAAAAATACAAATCACTTTGAAACAAACCTTAAGACAGAAATTTAAGAAGCTAAGTTATTTCCAAACATACTAGTACAAGTAACAAAACACAAACTGTTAGCCAATTTTCTTATAAGGAGACAGTGATGATGAAACATGAGAGTACATATCCCACAATTTTGGAAACAGACATTTAAGTAGATATCATGAAAATTTCGTTTTTACCCAAGCTTTAAAATTCAACTCTGTAAAAAATACTGTTAATTCACTTTCCACTCCATTTCCTGTTGATGTAAAAATATTTAGTGCCAAAACATTTGTAGCTCCACATCCTCAAGAATTATTTTATTTAGAGGGGGGGCTCTACTTTCTCAGAGGTAGATACAAAAGTAAGTGAAAAGCTAAAAATTGTTTAGAGGTCTGGTAATAGTTACACTAATCAGTCTTTCTTATATAAATGTTAAGTTTTCCCAGATCTTTATTCTATATCAATCGTAGATATAGTACAGTAGTATTTTTCAATTTTTGAGGTATAAAATGTATTTGCTGTAGTCATGTCGTTTGACCTGCAATGGCAAATAAACGGTAGTGAAATGAGTGAGTGGCGATCACACGAAACTCCTCTATGCATATCTATGTCTTATAAAGACTCAGTTTGCTGTTTGTATATATATATATATACATATATATATTCTTAATCACCGAATACATAATTTTATAGATTGTATACACATATCCCATTTATTCTGAGTAAGAAGTTAGCACACATGATCACACACAAAAGTTGTAATGGTTTTTAAATGAGACTCAAATCTCGAGTGCTTTCGAATAGTTCATTATTCTCCATGTGTACCATTATAATTACTCTGTCTGAACAATTAATCTGTTTAGTAAAGAAGTTATAATTTTCATTTATTATATAAGTTTCTTGTATCTTGATAAGTGGAAATAAAGTGTATTTTGTTATTTGAAAATCTTCAAGTTAAACATTATAATTTAGGAAACTTTATTTAATTATTACATGCCATTGAAGTTGTCAGTTAATCAGCTTTTGATAAAGACACATTATAATGTTGACTGTATAAGCGATTTGGCATCACCTGATGGTTAGGATGCTCAACTCTCAATCTGCAGGTTGTAGCTTGAATTCCCTCACTGAACGTGCTTACACTTTCAGCTGTAAAAGCATTATAATGTGATGGTGAGTCCCACTATTGGATTCGAATAGCTCAAGCGTTAGCAAGGGTGGTGTTGACTAGCTGCTTTCTGTCTAGTCTATCACTTCTAAATTAGGGATGGCTGGTGCAGATAGCCCTCGAGTAGCTTTGCACAAAATTTAACATCCAGAGAAGAGACTGCATACATGGGTACCCACAGAAATATTTTCAGAGGGAGGCAAAACATGTATAGGGGATCAGTTTTTATATTGCAAGTCAACAGACTAAATGAATATCTGTTATGTGTGCTTAAATGCTATCACAAATTTACAGTTTTAATAAAAATGACTAATAATATTTAGGGTAACTACGATGTTAAGTTTACATCATAATACGTGCAATTTTTTGGTAAAGGTATGGGGGGGGAAATGCCCATGACTACATATTTTATACTCTGGACTAACAAACATACTTTTGTGCAATATATATACAATCTAAACTTAATTTTTTCTTTATCATAAAAGTAATTAAAAAATAAGAAACAATTGTGTTAAAAAACCCGCTTTACACAATAGAAAATAAATTCAGTACTCGTGATGCTTTAACTTATTGTTAAAATATATGAAAAATAATAATACTCCATATTGAAATACTGTTTTATTGTGTGGTGTTATGAACATGCGTGTAAATAAGATATCTGAAGGATAGTGTCAAAACATACAAAGTTTTTAAGAAGAGCAAATTTTTTATTGATAGTACAATACCATAAAAAATTTAATATTATTTGATGTAAGGTTTTATAAATAAAGCATTTTGAAATAAGTGTTTTTTTTTTTTATGTATGGTTTTAGTGGTATACTCTTGAAGAATCTGTTACTTACAGATTTATTCTATTTCAAATTTTATCATTCTTTTATGTTTGTAGTTATTTTTGCTTGCAGATTATTCTGGCCAGTTCAAAATTTCTTTAATAGATGTAAGGTATTAGGTTTATTTTATATACTGTTTATAGTGACATGCACACAAAAAAAAATTGTTTGGTCACACGTATATATAGAAGTAGTTTAAAATATGTGGGAATTTACTAAGGTGTGTGTGTGTGTGTGCATATCTGTATCTTAGATTAATAATATTCAGTTATAAGAAATTATATCGGCTGAAGAGAGGACAATAAATTATAAAATTTACCTTGCGATAATGGAAAATTTCAAAATGCCTTATGTCTTGTTTTATCTTCCTGTGTGTTTGTATCTATGATGTAAGTAAATAAATATGCATCATTGCATGCACACACGCATGCACAGGTAAATCTTCCTGCGGCATATTTTTTGGTTACCTGTTAAATATGAAATGATTGCAGATAAATGGTAGAAGTTACAGTGACATTAACACACAGCTACTTCTAAGGAATGCAAAAAATTAATTTTCTTGTTACTTAGAAATGTGTTAAAGTGGAAAGATGTTACATTTATTATTTTCAAAACTTATCTTTACTGTAGTTGTATTTTTTGATAAATAGGTTCTATGCATTTGCATAATCTTAAATTATTAATCTCTTTTTGAAGGGCTACCCTTATTAAGTTTATTTTTTTCTTTCAGAAACACCTAATGTTATTCATCTTGTACATGATTCTAAAATTGTTCCTGAAGATGCTGAGGGAATAATACTTGGTACATCTGGAGGACGTCGTCGCCGCTCTTATAACTCGTATAGTAATGAAGAGCGTTTTCTGATTGCTCAGTATGCAGCCAAACATGGAAACACCAATGCAGCTGTTTATTATAGCAAAATATTGAAGAAGGAAATCTCTGAAAGTGTTGCCAGAAGATTCAAGAACATTTACTTTAAGTCCAAGAAGTGATATCAAATCAAACGTATACTAACTGTTAATTGGGTGAGAAGTTTTAGGAATTAATGTGACCTGTTTTTTTTTTAGAATAACATTTTATAAATCTCTATACTTTCATTATGCTTATTGTTATCTAATTTTATCCTATGGCGACCAGTGTGTTGTGTCTTTTTTTTTTTGCTAGGATCAGGATAAATTTTTAGCAGTTGTGTAGAAAATACCAGTTTCTCGGGGTACTTATGAAATCCACATCATTACAAGACATGGTGCATTTTAATCTACATTAAAAATTTTAGAAGTATGAGTTTAAATATAGTGTAGTAATATGTAAAGAAGTTAGTCACATTTGAGAAGAATTTCAGTGTATAATAGATTACATAATATGAGGATAAATTAATGTAGGTTACCTCACCAAAACTCAGAAGTAAATTCACACAAAATAATCAAATAAGAAGAACCTTTGGTGCTTTATAATATAATAATTTTGATTAATTCGTTTTATAAATTAGGTTTATGTTCATATGGGCATTTTTATACAATGAAAGTAGTTGTCAAAAGGCCTAAAAATGGCCCATATGGAACTTAGATGAAATGCAGTGACAATTATAGTATATTGCATGTAACACGTTATAACCTTATCATGTCATAATTCTCAAGATGGCAGCCATTAATGTATTTGAATTTATCTGTTCATCAGATTATATTTTCTGTATCAGTTACTTTTGAAATAATTACATAAAGCTATATATGTTTATTACAAAAATCCAATAATATATTTATATCAACTACTTTGGTGAGTGATGGATGGATTTGATTTGTCATATTTCATTATGGCAGCCTGTTCAATAGGATGAGCATGAGAAATATTTGAGTGCATTGCCCGTACATCACATAATATCAATTTTACATACAGCTAATAAATATTTCATTCCATATTATCCGACATGGATGGACCCTTAATGTAAATTAATGTCAAACAGTTTTAGTCTTACAGTGGCTCTTTAATGTGTTAACATTTATTTACATTCAACTTTGAAGGGTTTTTAGAATATACTTGTTTGTTTCTAGTTTCCAACTTAGTATATAACATTAAAAGCCCATATTATAGACAAGTGGTTCCCAAATTAATTTGATCTGAGGCTTCCTTAATGTGAATAGAAAAGGTTGAGGCCCCCTAACCTATAAATATGCCTTAAAATGTGATTTTAACCCCCCCCCCCCACTACTTTAGCATGATGATTGAAAAACAGTGCCATAGTAAAAACATAACATCACCTTTCAACATACTGTATCATTTAATTAATTCAACATAATTTTTAGTGACTTATTGATTATTTAGAATTAAACTTAATTCAGCATCTTTGTGTTCAGCCCATTTTTTTGGCAGTCCCCCACGAAAAGCTTCACGGCCCCCATGTTGGGAAACTGTTATAGACTATCAAATACACGTGCATATATTATCTCTCTTTGTATTTCTCCCATGTTTTAAACTAAGATTACAATTGTATGTCTTTGTAAGTTGATGTTAAGATGCCAACTATTATATTTTGATAGGTGAATGTTTACCTGTGTCTTCAGCAAGTACATACATATCATGTTATTCTTATGTATGTTACTGATATTTTACTTTGTACAATACAAGTTTTTTTTAACTTGGTTAAATAAAGTAATGTCCAATGATAGGTTTTTGTCAACTCATTTGAAAAGTTTGTTAAAACATCATAATACTGTAATTAAGCCTAATATATCCTTTTTCAACTTTTGTACTTGTGTCATCATAAAACATTGTTATAATACTGTATTCTGTTCGGTTATTCTAATTTAACATCAGACAGTGTTTGTATTTGTGTGACACTATGGATGTATTAATAAAAGGCATATGCTGAAACAACTGAGTTACATAAGAAAACATTTATTCTACAGTTATATTAGTAATCATTTCTAGGTATTTCTGTAAAAGGTTTAACAAATAATTATAATGTCGTCATTCCAGTAAGCTTTCTCAACGTTTGAAAAGCATGAATTTCATAACCATTTAGAAATTATTAGATATAGGAGTATAATAGATAATAAACAAAAACCTAGGTTATATCAGATGCAAAATTTTGGAAGATGAGAAGCATTGTTTTTGTAATTTATCAAGAAGGGAAGAGTTTGTAACTGTATAAAATATTATTGTCTTAAGAAGTCTTGTATCAGAAATGTTATATTATACAATTTACTCTATCATTTTCCACTGTAGTGTAATGTAAAGGTTTTAACTACATTCCTATCTTAAAGCCCCTTAACAAAGCATTGTGACATTTAATGTAATGCAAAGGGCATGTGTACACTTTGGTCTCGTTTTTCCCACTTTTACAAACGTGTTACCGGGTATTAGTTCAAACATGAAGAGTCGTCTGATGTTACTAAAACTAAGCATAAATTTAGTTTACTACAAACCAGTTTGAATATTTTAATCCTATCCATATGTAAATGATATCCAGCTGTAGTTTAAGGCTACATAAAAGAGTTACAGCTACCATTTTAACTTGTAGCAATAGCATATGGTTAAAATAAAAAAAAAAGGTTAGGTATGCAAAAATATAGATTTTTTTTTGTTAATAGTTTTGGTGCAATCTTAATGCTTTTCTCTTGCCTGAAGAAAGTTGGTTAAAAACTTAACTACATACAATCATTTTTTTTCATTTGTTTTTGTTCAGTTTATTTCCGTATTATTACCTATCTTTTTTATAGGCGTGCAGGGAAAAAAATAGATAAAATAGCTAAAAGTTGGAAAAAAATTGTAGAAAAAAAATATAAAGTCACATTTATATATGAGTAATTAAACAAATAAAAATCTGTTGAAATCCATGCTTATATGCTAGTAAAATTTTTCTTTAACCTGTCTTAACAAATATTGGTTCATGACTTCTGCCAATCTAAAGTATCAAACATTAGATACAAATAATATGTTTTATTCTGTAGTATTTAAGCCCAGTAAATTTTTTTAAAAGCCCCAGTAGGTGTGGATAAATATAACATGAACTTTAATGCCAGAACACTTCCTTATTTTTGTTAAGATTTTATTAAATTTGAGTTTCATTTAGCCTATTTCAGTTAATAACAAATATGGAGCGTAGATTTCATTTTAAAATTGAAATGATATTAAAACTGTTAAATATATATGTGTAGTTAGAACAGAAAAGCAACTGCCACGTTTTTCTTCTATTGGTTTGTAAGAAGAGAAGATTTAATGCACATTTCGTATGACCATCTACAATTCAAGATATGCCAGTCCTTGCAGATGTAACAAAAAACTAATTTACTACAAAGAAATCATAACTTTATAAACTGGTCCACAGCTTAAACTGCTTTAAAGCTGGAGTGTTCAGCATTTATACAATTTATTCAAGAGTAATTAACTGCTTTTAGTAGAAGTAAATTAGTTTGAAATATAATTTTGGTAGTTTATTTTTGGTATACATAAACATACATTGTTGTTGTGCAGTACTATAAAACAATATTTGAAATTATTTTTGTCAAACTGTATCATACTGAATGTTTCCAAGATTGCAATGTTCAGTCACTAAAGTATTTTCTTTCATTCTTTGTAAAATGAAATATTCCAAAGTTATTGGTAGCTAGCTGGAGTACCTGTTTGTAACAAAGGATAGAAAATTGTGCTTGTATTTGTTCTTTCTTAATGTAATAAACATTAAAAGTGCAATAAAAATACGTAAAGGGTACCAATACTGAAAAAGAAAGACATACTGTTTTCAAGAATTCTATCAATACCTTCCTCGTGTCATCTTGTATTACTGTATCAAGTTTGGTGCTAATTGATCAAGAAATGTGGAAATGTATAAGGAACAGATGCACACACACATATTGATGTTTATTTATATAGATGATTTTGTGACATCCATTTCATTTACAGGAAGTGACAAGTAACTTGCATCGGGAAGAAATTGTTTACGGTAGAGTACACGTGTTTGTTTTGTTTCCATTTAATAAAGATTGTGGCATTTGTTTTAATGTTCAGAAACCTATCTTTGACAGAATACATTTCCATAATAAAATCTGTATCTCCTCTAGGAGTATAACTAGCTGAATATTATAATAACATTTTCTACATTTTAAACCACCATAAGAATGTATAGATGAATTTTTGATTAAATAGAACAAAAGCCAAAGTTAAATTTTTTAAGTTTTATTCCAGGGCTAGACCAATCAAAATAGAAGAATTATGCAAATTTTTGTAATCCGTACAAAAGGAAAAATGTTATGTGAAAAGAGCTTTATCAAAGTTTTTTTGGGTTGGATGAGGATCTTTGAATTGATCACAATGTTACTGAAAAAAATTGATCAAAATGCACATTTTATTTCTTATATGTTTTGTAAGTATTCAGATATTCATAAAAAAGAATTCATCATTTGTTCTGTAATTATTCTGAATGTAAGGAATGATATGATTAATTTCATGGAACTTTGTGGATTATTGATGTAATATAATATTTTATTTACTCTGAAATAACTGTGTTTTTTGCTTTTTATTGTTTTATGATTAAGTTACATGGAGTCGTATCGTTTGTCCGCTTTTTTTTTAAGAAGATGGATGTTTTTTTACGTCTTTTCTTGATGATCTTGTGTGTGTATATATATATATATATAATATATTTATAAATGTATATTGTTCTGTGACTTAGAGAAGTATTTCTATAATTTCACATTAACAGCTGAATTCTGAAAAAATTTTTGCTGCATCTTTGAGAATGCTAACAATGAAAAGTATGTCGTTGTTTTTTATTTAATTTTTTACATCCAGAAGTGGAAAACTTCTATTGGTTAATAAAATTTTGGTCCATGAAAGCTAGATGGTATTGAAAGGATAGAAGCAGAAGAACATTTCACCGCTTACCCCCAGTTGTTTACAAAAGCATGTAGATGTACTAATTATTCTAAAGATAAACGGGCTAACCAGCTTATGTTTTGGATTACTGAAACATGTCAAAAACTAACTGAATATGTAATTTACTGCTCGTAGTAAAGATGCATTATTTTTCTAAAAGAATTGTCATTTGATATTTATATAAAATTTTTTTGCAATGAATTATAAATGATGAGTATGTACTTCAGTATTTCTGATATAAACATTAGCGTGTACAAGTTTCGCAAACAAGAATTATACTGTTGTGAAAATAAATGTTTGAAAACCACGATCCTCTTAATTTACTAAAACTGTATTTTTTCACACCATATACATTGATAGATGCAGAAGGACTACCTGTAAGCCAGTCAGCAGATTTCACCTTTCCCAAAGTTCGAGGGAAGGGATTCCAGTGTCATATTTGTGGCAAAATGTTCACAACACGCTGGTATCGTAACAGACATATAGCTGTGCATGGTGGGTTACGACCAGAATATAGATGTAATATTTGTAATAAAGTGTTCCATTGGAAAGTTAATGTGATTCGCCATCAAGCAACTGTTCATAAGGAAGAGTGTTATATGAATGACTTATAAAAATGCTTTGCGTGTTACTCGGTTCTGTTTGGAATCTTTTGTTTTATTTTTCAGAGGTTTTTGTACTTGAAAATATTCTAATAAAGGTATTTTATGATCAGTATAATAAGTAGGATTTCATTGTTGAGGCTTAAGAAATATTGATGTTAAATCTTAAACCAACCTAAAACTCAATATACCTCAGTAAAAAATATCAACAATACAATTACAACAGACTGTTTTTGTTATAATTACACAGTGTAACGTGCCCATTCTTTTTTATGTTATTAAAGTAGCACAGCTGTTCAGGATACATTTCTAGCTTCTTTTGTTCAAAATAGAAATATTAATGCACTATATGGGAACCATACCTTCTTTCATTCTGAACTGTAAGATGTAACAACAAAGACATTTATCTGAACTCATACATCCATCTTCATTGCTTTCAGATTCACAGGGCTTCAATCACAGTCAAGCTAAAATCCATCTGACAACTTGTAGCTTTCCAGCCACTTCAAAAAAAGGTGTTCACTGTCATATATGCAACAAGTTCTTCACAACTCGCTGGTACTGTAACAGACACATAGCACTGCATTATGGTACCCGTCCAGAATACCGGTGTGACATTTGTCACAGAGCATTTAGCTGGAAAACTAATTTGATTCGACACAGGATTGCTGTTCATAAAAACCATCATTCTGTTAAGTGAACTCTTTAGTTTAGCTTTTTAGTGCGAATATTTATTGAAAGGTACTGTAACTACATTTTCAATAAAAGTGTGTTCAACAAAGTAACTATTAGTGAAGCATAATTTGATCTTTGAATATTTGTGACACTTCTACATTTTGCATATCATATTTGAATTGTCTATCAAGAATCTGTTGCATTAAAATTGTTGTTTATAATTGTAAGAATATCTCTCAACAGATGAAGCATAAAATGTTTGCTTCTTAATTTGTTGTATGAAAATAAAAATTGAACATCATTCATTGGGTTTAAGTAGTCACAAAATTCTTACTTACTAAAACTAGAACACATCAGTCTTCATTCTTATTAACTCAAGTGATTAAATTTGTTTCAGTGTTATATTTATAACTAACTGTATGGACAACATTAAGACATAATAACGAATGAGTGAAATTTGTTTGAAAATTAAACACATTTAATGCTTCAAACTTTTTTGGAGCTTTTCTGAAATAAAACTGTTGTGATTTCTAATAAATGAGTTACATGTTGATAATTCACATAACTTAATATCTTTTTTAGAAATAGAAGTGTGTTTTAGAAATGAAGCTATAACAAATGGAAGTTTGAGACTGCTATCTATAATAATAAAAGGGCGTGTCTGTGTCTGTTTGTGACTGCCATAGTTCCAAGAGGAAAGAACCTAGAGATCTGAAACTTTGCACGCAGGGTGTGCACCTGGATATTATTTTTTAGGTTTGACTCAAAAAATTTTGGCCAATTTTTTGCTCTATAATTTTGCTCTATAGCCCCGTAATTCTGCTTCCTGAAGGTCTATAGAAAAGTATCATTTTTTTTTAATTCTCACTTACTGAATAAACAATATATGGAGGTTTTTTTCCAAATACTGTTGTAAAAGAACAAAATGGTAAAAAAATAAACCATCAGTTCAAATGGCTCCGGTTTCCCAGTTAAACTCGGTTTTTCCATAAGTATCAACAAGACGCAGGGGCAATCATTCAATGTTGTTGGTCTCAAACTGCAAAGTCCATGCTTTTCTCATGGCCAACTTTATGTTGGTTGCTCCAGGGTTGGTGATGGCAAGAACCTTTTCATTTTAGCACCAGATGAGAAAACAACCAATATTATTTATCCTGAGGCACTGCAAGGATATAGAATTTGCAAAACGCTGTGACAGAAAAATGTTATGTGAAATTCTCAGTGCAGTGATAAAGTATTAAGATGTAAATAAATAATTATTAACTTACAACAAAGATTTATTATACAATAAGATTTCTATATGTTTCTGAGAAAAACAAAATCTTTGAAAAGAATTTTTGCTGAATCTCGTATCTGAAATAGGTTCAAAGTACACAGACACAGTCGACCAGCAAAATATCAATGTAATAACCCAAGCGAAGCTGGTTACTTTGGCTAGTATCACATAATGTATGATATTTGTACATTTTTATAGATTATATAAGTAACATGTTTGTGATGCTTAAATGATAAACTGATTAATTTGTAGATTGAAAGTTGTAAAAAGTTAATGATAGATTTGTACTTAGTATCAATAAATTCTTTTTGTTTAGGATGATTTTGTCTTTTTGATATTTAACGAATGATGACATTTGGTAAATTCTCCTGGGAAATTTCAAGACACTAAAACCAATGTGAACATAGGTAATGTTTTTTATTTTGTTTTAAACTCTGTACTGTAAATTATTTGTGGTTATCAACATATGTTCATTTACACTTGGACGATTTCACCTGCTTAAGTGCAGAAGAAGAAAAAAAGGATCTTATCTTAAAGGCAAGTACGTTTCACAGAGTTTTGATAAACACCAAGAAATATGGAAAACGGATAAATACATGCAAGTAAACACAAGATTATAATAAATAATACTGAGATACATTCATTTTCTTCTGCATTTTTCAAAAGTCACCTAAATATATGCTTATGAAGACAAGTGCATAAAGCAAGATGTTAGCAGATATGAAGTCAGAATTCTTCAAAATAACATAATTCCATCAGTCATTACCAACTTCAACCATTGATAGGGTACACAGTACAACTTATGGATATATTCATTTCACATGTTGTGTACTAATGTCTTTAACAGTACTCTTTGCTTTGGATATTAAGGTATATATTCATTGTTTTCCAGATTATTAAAAGTTCTATTTATTTTGGTATTATATCTCATACATCCTGACAATTTTAAATTAATAATATTATTATACTGCTTTTTAACTTATGAATAACAAAATTCTCAGTTGCATTCTCTGTAATACTTTCAAAGGTTTCCCAATGAATTATCCAAGTTTCGGTTATTTTAAAACTAGTTTGGTTTCTCTTTGAAACGAATAACTAGGTTTTATGTCTGAAATATGATTTCACTACCATACATGTAGATTGGGTTCTAAGATGAATATTTAAGATACATTTTGTAATTTCTAGAAAACTGAACATTACTATGTATTTTTAAATTGGTATGGACTAAATACATATTAGTTTTATTTCATAACTGTATTCTTTGCAAAGGCAAAAAAAAAACCAACAACATTAAAACAAACACCTTGTAGCATCAGTAATTCATTTAGTTTGAAAGAAGTGGTTCTATTCAGCATTACTAAAATGTTTTACAGAAGTTTTCATTATAGATATATGCTTTTTTTTTGTTTTAGGTACACATAGGATACTTCCTACTTTTGTAAGAGGCCAGCCAGTGGTGAAAAGTGCCCAGTGTCATGTATGTCATGAACAATTTGCTACATGCTCAGATTTAAAAGAACACATGACACTGCATGTCAGTGTTACTCCTGAGTATAGGTGTGACATCTGCAATAAGGTTTTTGCTTGGAGAACAAGTTGTGTTCGGCATAGAGCGTGGCATGCGAGATGAAATTGTGCACAAGATTGTTAGTGCTATTTGAACTTGTGTTATTTCATAAGGTAATGAATTTTGTAGTTGTCTTCACGATATGAAGTTGTCATTTCTGAGTACATTTCATCTGTGATTTTGTGCATTTGTAAGTTTGCTTTTTATAAAAAAAAATGTAATTTGTTCCATCTTTTAAAATAATATTTATATATTAAACATCAAATACAGCATTTATAGTCTTATATAGGACATTTTGTGAAATATTGATTACTCTACAAACATCATTTTGGTCTGATATTAAGCCATACTTTGAAAAATAATTTTTAATTAGTTTGAAACTATTTATAAAAATTGATTTCTGTGGAAATTTTTTAAGCTATTAGTTTTAATTTTAAGCTAAAGATTTGAATGGAAGAAATAAATAGCTGTCTCCAATGCACAAAAAATATTGATGTAATAAAATACAAAATATCACATATTTCAATATCATATTATTAGTGTTTTCAAGAATTAATATATTAATAGTATTTTCAGTAATTACTTATGAAGAAAAGTTAGTTCAAAGGATTGGTTATCTTTTGTTGTAGACCGCTATTTAATTTGACCCACTTTTATGAAGATCTCCTTTTACTCATAACCCTTGGCTATGCTAGGGTTTATATTTATGAAGACAAGCAGTAATCATTATTTCTAATGAGAGAAAAAAAAAATCTTGAAATGCTTAATAATTTTTTTGTTTTGGCCCTGTCCTCTGGATTAGGCCAACTTTAAGTAATGCCCTTTACAAGGGTAAAGATATCATTTTAATTTATAAAAATTATATTTTTACTTGTTATCATGACTAGTAGTGTATATGTGATCATCTCAATATAGTTATTAATTAGTTATTGATGTTTCAATTAATTATTAATTGTACTAAGATAAATGTACAGACTACTAGCCCTGACAACTATTGATATCTGATTGCTCTAACCTTACCATAAGTATTTTGGTTTTAGTACGATGAAAGGAAGTACTCTGTCGTAATTAAAAGTAAACTTGATAATTCGGTTTAAAACAAAGTAAAATTTAATGAAAGTAGTTGATGTACCTGATGATGCCAGTTTTACCTGGTGAAACGTTGTACTTTCATTAAATTTTACTCTGTTTATCCGAATTATCAAGTTTACTTTTGTTTTTAGTGTTTTCATTCAGCAATAGATATCCTGTTGTATCAAAGAACTAGATGGCGACAATGAAAGAGAGTATTAAAAACTAGTATTTCTGGAACATTCTTCTCATTAAAAGAATTATTATTATGAATAATTATTTCTTTTGTTCAAAAATTTCATAAAATTGTGTTTCATGTTTTTGTAACTTTTTGTATAGATGCCTTTTATAAAGTTTTTTTTTATGTTTATTGTATATTTGTTTTATGGTAACTTTCTTTGAAATAATATTTTATGCTAGTCAGCTCTAGTTGTGTTATCTTTTGAAATTCCTTGTTTACTCAAAATATAGTTAATTTCCTTGTTCATCTTGTTTAGCTCAAATTAACTTTTGTTTTGCCTCACTTTGATTTCTCCTTCCCTCTTGTCGGTTGTGGTCTTTTCTTACCAATTCATGTTTAATATTGCAGAAATGTTAAGCTCCTATGAGAGTTATTTATAATTGAAACTTTTACTATGGAGACAACAGAAATTAAGAATTAATAATTTTGTTTTGAGTTTACTCACTGATTATAAGTATCATTTTATTGCAAACAAAATAGTTTCATCCTAGTTGTTCTCTGCGTGTTACGGTGTTTCACAACCCTCCTTATGTATATTCTTGTGCCATTTTTTTTTTTCAATGTTCCTACTTCGATTAACTCTCTTTTATATCCCTATTTGTTTTATTTCACTCAGTTTCTTTTCTTTCATATTTTCAGACCCATCCCATGTTAAATCATTTTGTATTTATTCATTACTTTGCCCTGTCAAGTTTTTCTGTGTCATCTTTTGTTTAAAATGATACATGAATCTTTTTTTGTAACGTTATATATTAAAGCGTGTTTTATATTTCAATTTTATTCTACTCAATGGTGTGAATGAGATATCAAATAATATTGTGTAACAAATTGCAGTATGTAAAAAGAACATTATTATATAGTATATTTTTAATAAATGTTTCAGCAGTAACCGTCTTATATGTACTCTCTATTTTATAATGCCTTGTACAAAAAATTGCTCTTTAGTAAAGTTTAAGTTTTCAGTAAATTTTTTAAATGTTAAAGTGCTTGAAAAATTAAGGTAATTCTTTAAGTATAAAACATTGTTCAATTTTGTATAATATACCTTCAGTAACATTGAATGAGAAAGTGATTTTAACTAATTTTGTTTCATACCTAATCTGGGGTAGTTACACATTATTACTATAGGAGTATCAAGCAGAACTGGTAAAAATTATCAAATTCACCGTACTCCACAATTCGCACACATAGTGAAAACACCAACCACCCCGTCTTTATTACGAATTTCAAAGTCATCTCATCTGGATCATCCAATGTTGAACTTTTAATTAAAGAAAGTTTATCTATTATAAATGAACTCCCAACTTTGAATAATAACACAAATTCACTACAATTAAGTCTGTTCTAAATAACTTTTATAATATCGTTACATTATTCTATTCTCTGTTTATTTTATTGTCTTTTAATTTATTTCATACTTTTATTCTGTATTTTAATTATATTTATAGAATGTTTAAATTTTAAAATGTCTGTAGCTAATAATTTATCATGTTCATTATAGCTTGCTGAAGATGGAATATGTATATTCCGAAACGTTCAATAATTAAATGTTTGTTACTGTATATACATGTGTCAAATGTTCATTATTGCTGCCATTGCCCTGTTGTTCATCACTATATACATCTATGGTTAAGATATTCAATAAATATTTATTCTCTGTTACAGCAAACTAAATGTACAAAACTTAATATTCTAAGTGATAGAAACAAAATGCTAAAAGTGCTGTCGTGTTACCTAATGACAAAAAAATTGTAATCATTTTGGGCCACAAGGGGTGCTAAAATCGACATTGTAATTAGCGATTCATGTCAGTTTTGCAGGGTCAGATGTGCTGAATACAAAGTTCACACAGGTCACAATTTTGCCCAGGGCTGGCTTTGCATAAACGTTTTGTAAATTGTAATTCTAAACTTTTGTCTTTTGAACAATAAGTTTTTATCTTTTAAATAAAGTTCCTTTAGAAAGTGGTTTTGGTTTCCCAAAGAAATTTGTTAGATGTCACATGGTTTTGATTGTGATATGTGTTTAACCTATTTACAGTATTTCTGAAGCATATTTAAATTTTTTCAGTGACATACACTATGAATACTTTTTTTATTTTATTGTTTTTTTAAATATGCTTATTGTAGGCTTGTTTTTAAATGTTAAGTTATTTGTAACTTATTTTTGTTGAATGTTTGTTCTTCTGAAAAAACTTGTGTAGGAAAGAGACTGACGCATCAAAATCTCATGAGGAACAATGAAAAAAAGAAGGCTTTAGAGGCATTACCAAAATTACAGCAGTGAATAAAAGTACTGAAGAAAGTATATTTGTCGTGAAACTATTTTTTATGAGTTTCAAGTGTATATTAAATGAAATGTGACACTAAAAATAAGTCGGATATAAAAATATGTACAGTATTGCATGAAAGATTTTTTCATAACTGTATGACAGTGCTGTACGTTGTAGACAAAAATAATATATATATATATTCCAATGGTAGCTTTTACAGGATAGAAATATTATATGTATATGTTTGTGATTAAAGAACTTGCATATGAACTTACCGTTTGGATGGTTTGGTTATTTAAAATTCGTAAACTTGGTAACCTTTCTATAAGCTATTTTCTTGTTGGCTTTAGATTCAAGTGGAGCAGTGAAGAGTGCTAACAACAGCTCCCTAGCATCGACACATCGGTCTTGGCCTGCCAGAAAAGGGTATCAGTGTCACATTTGTTATAAGTATTTTACTACAGGTTGGTACCGTAACAGACACATGACACTGCATGGTGGAGTTCTTCCAGAGTACCAGTGTGACATCTGCAACAAGATTTTTCACTGGAAAGTTAGTGCTATACGCCATCGAGCTACTGTTCATAAAACGAAAAAGACTTTCTGAAGAAGGAGGAGGATTGGTTTGTCAAGAAAATACTTTTAGGCGAAGATGGTTAAAGAATATATAAAACTGTGTGGTAATTAGTGAAATATTTAGAAGATAAGGTGTTGTTGATTGAATTTTTTAACATTTGCATAACATGTACAAAAATACATTATTTAATAATTCCATGATTCCATTTTTTATGTGAACCGTGCTTGTAGGTTACTTTTGCGGTTATCAGAGAAACAAAAAAATATGAATAACTTGAGAATAATGAATGTTTTATGTAACGTATTAAATTGTCTAGTTGGAGCTATTGCTACTTGTGTAAATTTTCTTTGGTAAATAAACTATACAGAAATTATTCAGATATTCAAATTTGTGACTAGTGTGCTTATGAAAATGCTTTTTTAAGCTGTTGGTAATAATGAACCTGGGATGAATTGAAACTTGTATTCATCTGTAAATATTGCTTATAAAACATTTATAGCATGATATGTAATATCTGTTGTAAAACATCGGTTTAATTATAATGATTATAGTTAGTGCTGATGAGAAGAGGGGGCAAGGGAGCAGCTGTCCCGGGGGTCTATTGAGGGGGACCGGCAGTGAGATATTTCAATACTCACTAGAAATGCATACTACTTAATGAGCTAAAATGGCTACTGCTTTCTCATGGATTCACGAAGAAATTTGTCACTTAAATTTCTTTTATGAAAAATCAGCAAAAGTTAATAAATAGAATGAAAGGGAGAGGGGGCCCGGTGAGATTACTGATCCTAGCTGGCTCTCAATGCCCCTGATTCTAGTCGATGTCGAAACCTGCTCTTTAAGTTGTGTTTTTCTTCAGATGAACAAGAATTATTGATTATACCTGAATGATAGATACTAGTGGAACATTATGATAGGTGTTTGTTATAATCTGTTTCTTGATATAAATATGAAAACACAGCAATGAATAAGAGGCCACCAGTTTTGCCGCAAACGTTTGTATTTAACTTTTTGAATGTCTAAATTACTATAGAACAGATATGATTATATGTTTATACTTTATAATACATTGCTTGGTGTACACACATTATAAACACAGGACCATTTTAGCAAGCTGTTTATAACCTCTTAATTTGTAGTTTTATTTATTCAAAAAAAAATCGGTGGAACATATTTTGTAGCAATAAATGCCAGAAAAAAGACAATACACCTCTTTTCTTTTTATTGCAGTTTTCGTATTAATTGTACTTATTTTGTTACTATAGTTCTGAAACACTACTGTATGTGTTGGCATCCGTTGAGTTGTGAAGATGATATATTTATTGTTATGGGTAAATGAATTTTTTTTTCTAGTATTATAAAATTGATAAAAAAATAAAAATGTATTGTTACACACGCACACAAGCATTACTTGGTGAAAATGACATTTACACTCTGTAAAAATGAAGGATTTACCATTGGGATTACTTATTTGTGTTTATGCTCTTTGGATATGAAAGATTAGTGTAATGATGGTTTAGTGGAAAGATCTGCAATTATATATACATGCATAAATGGCCTGGTGGTTAGGGTACTCGACTCGCAATCTGTGGGTTCAAATCCCTGTCATACCAAGCATGCTCGCACTTTCAACCATAGGGTGTTATAATGTAATGGTCAATCCCATTATTCATTGGGAGAAGAGTAGCCCAAGAATTGGTGGGTGGTGTTGACTAGCTGCCTTCTCTCTAGTCTATCAATGCTAAATTAGGGATGGCTAGTGAAGATAGCCCTTCTGTATACGTTGCGTAAAATTCTAAATAAACCAAACCAAATACATATATATATATATATATATATACATGATTTGAAACAAGTAGTAGATGACATGTACATGGTAGCGTGTTTGTTCATTGAGCGAAGGATATCAGTGCTATTGGTGTGATACATTGTATATGTTATAAAATATTTACTGTGTTATCCTAATACTGATAATAGTTATAATTACGTATAACATAATCTTGTGAAGATAATAGTTTCCTAAGAGTTGATTTTAATCTGCATAAGAGAATATGTAAGTAAAAACTACTACTAGTATCAACTTTAATTAACCTAGTTTTACATTGTACCTTTTGTACCTTAGGCCTACATTATGTCAGAGACATAAGAAGCAAGTGGATTTATTGAATTTTAACACATTTCAACCTGAATACAGATCATCAAAATATTACTCTTTACTTGAGTTTGAATCTGGGACCGACTTGTTTTTCTTTACTTCTTTAGAAACCAAATCTGTACTAGTTCCAAAAGAATTACACTTGTTTCCTAGACACCAAATTTGCATTTGTTTTCTCGAATCCAACTTTAGATTTATTGATATTCAATTTGGGACAACATGGAACCTATTGGTCCATCTCGGCTGTTCCATCCTCTAATGGAAATTAAAATAATTTTTTTCAAAAATCTTAAAGCCTACAATTATCATTCATATACTTATCAAGCTTTTTCTTAAACTCACTTAAATTTACT